AAATAGAGTAAATTTATGTATCTCACCAGTCTATCAAGGTAAATAGGCGTCCAGGATGGATCAGGCCCACCTGGAACAAAGCCTAATGGCCGACTGAGCACTGACACATATGACTAATAAAAAGAACCAGAGAACATATTGGATTGTTTGCAATGAAATACAAAACATGTTCCATCTTTTTAAGTTATAGAAACACCACTGTAAGTTTGGGAGAACGAGAAATGCTGTGGGAACACAAGCCGATAGGCGAGTGTTTCCTCAACTTTTTCGAGTTCTCCAAAACTTCCATGAACTCCTGTTTCACATCACAATCTATAACTCTTTAGAAACATGAAGAACAAGTTTTCCATATCTCTTGTGAAAATACTGTGATGAAAGAAGAAAACAACTTGTTTACTTTGATCATCAAAATGTAAATTCCCTATGCTCAATCATCAGGGCACAAGGACTTATTTTTTACTGCAACCTTCAGCTAGTCTCCTCCGCAGCTGTTTTTTGGGATGTCACGCAACGCTCCCCCGAAGAAACAGCTGCTCACATCCGAACAACATTCCTTTCCTTTTGTGTTTGTGGTGGTTCGCGGTTTGTTTGCGCTCTGTTGAACAAACCAATCACATAATAGCAAAGTGTGAATGACGTGAGATTTCGCGCGAAAAGGCCTGCGGTGAGAACACGCAAGGGATTTCTGGCTTTTGTTTCACGCCGCACGTCGCCAAAAGTAGGCGGCGTTCGCAGGCTACCATAATGAAGGACGAAAAAAAAAGGTAAATGAAGGCCCTAAGTACAAGTGCTTCATGNAACTTTGATCTCACTATCATCAAAAGAAGTCTCAACTGGAGTAAATAAATAAATAGAGTAAATTTATGTATCTCACCAGTCTATCAAGGTAAATAGGCGTCCAGGATGGATCAGGCCCACCTGGAACAAAGCCTAATGGCCGACTGAGCACTGACACATATGACTAATAAAAAGAACCAGAGAACATATTGGATTGTTTGCAATGAAATACAAAACATGTTCCATCTTTTTAAGTTATAGAAACACCACTGTAAGTTTGGGAGAACGAGAAATGCTGTGGGAACACAAGCCGATAGGCGAGTGTTTCCTCAACTTTTTCGAGTTCTCCAAAACTTCCATGAACTCCTGTTTCACATCACAATCTATAACTCTTTAGAAACATGAAGAACAAGTTTTCCATATCTCTTGTGAAAATACTGTGATGAAAGAAGAAAACAACTTGTTTACTTTGATCATCAAAATGTAAATTCCCTATGCTCAATCATCAGGGCACAAGGACTTATTTTTTACTGCAACCTTCAGCTAGTCTCCTCTGCAGCTGTTTTTTGGGATGTCACGCAACGCTCCCCCGAAGAAACGGCTGCTCACATCCAAACAACATTCCTTTCCTTTTGTGTTTGTGGTGGTTTGCGGTTTGTTTGTGCTCTGTTGAACAGACCAATCACATAATAGCAAAGTGTGAATGACGTAAGATTTCACGCGAAAAGGCCTGCAGTGAGAACACGCAAGGGATTACTGGCTTTTGTTTCATGCCGCACGTCGCCAAAAACAGGCGGCATTCGCAGGCTACCATAATGAAGGACGAAAAAAAAAGGTAAATGAAGGCCCTAAGTACAAGTGCTTCATATGCTCATCGCTATGTTCAGCTACTGAGAGAATATACATTTTCTGGAAATGTCAAATTGTAAGCGTCAATCAAGGGCTAAACACTTCCTACAGATTGAAATCAGGAGGAAAGAGGACAAAGAGTGGCATTCAGAACTCGCTGTCAACAAATCAAGCAAAGCTACTTGATTTTCTGATTCCTTTATTAAGTTAAA